GGCAAAAACATCTGTTAAGAGAAAGGAGTTGGGAAGGTTTGGGGACTTGAGAACAGAAGGTTTTTTTTAAATATAATTTTATTGTTTTCCCCAATTAATTAATATTTGTTTTCTCTCACTTTTCCCTCCTCAGTTGAACAAGAAAAAAGATGAAAAATCCTCATAACAAGGATGTATTGTCAAGCAAAACCAATTTTCACATTGGCCATGTTCAGAAATTTACGTCTCGATTTGCATTTTAAGTTCACCACCTCTTTGACAGGAGGACAAGCAGAGTGCTTTATTTTCAATGCTCTAATCACGGTTTTTCATTGTATTGATCAGACTGCTGAAGATTTTTTTTATAGTTTTGCTTTTTTTATAATATTGATGTCATTGTATACATTGGTCTCCTAGTTTTGCTCACTTCCCTCTGTATCAGTTCATGGAGTCTTCTAGTTTCCTATGAAACTGTCCATTTTGTTATTTCTTTTTTTAAGTTAATTTATTTTGAGTTATCAACAATCATTTTCATAAGCTTCTGAGCTTCAATCTTTCCTCCCTGTCCTTCCCCATTTTGTTATTTCTTAAGATACAATAATATCTCCACTATATTTATATACCATAAATTGTGTAGTCATCCCCCAATTGATGGACATTCATTTACTTTCCAGTTTTTTGCTAATATAAAAGAGCTGTTATAAATATTTCTGTATATGAGTCCTTTTCTTTTTAATTTGATGTCTTTGGAGTATAGACCTAGTTGTAGTAATACTGAGTCCAAAGGTATGCCCAACTTAGTCACTTTTATGGCATATTTCCAGAATGTTTGAACCAATTTACAGGACCACCAACAGTGTGTCAGTGTCCTTATTTTCCTGCAGCCCCTCCAGTGTTCTTCATTTTCCTCTCCTTTATCTTTGCCAATCCTCTGGGTGTGAGGTGGTGCCTCAAGGTACTTTAATTTGCATCAAGAGAAAAGAAGGTTGGGAAAGGAAGCTGAAGCAATGAAATAGAGAGTCAAACAAGGAAGAATAAACATTTTGCTATGCAGGCAGGTGATTAGAGAGCGTGAATTTGTAGTGGAACCTGTAGATATGGTGATGTGACTTTATCCAGTGGCATTAAGTAGCCTTGGAGTGCAAACAGAGAAGGTAATTGATGGAATGATCTAGGTTTGAAGACTGACAAGGTGTGAGCTGCAGTAGAATAAAGGGTCATAGGGTCAAGACTGGGAAGAGGAGAGAGTTAGGTCTGAGCAAGGGTTATAGAAAATGTGGAGGGAAGGGATATATGATCTGGGAGTTTCAAGGAAGATGGAATAGGAGAATAGGAATACAAGAGACATTGAAATATAGGTGATTATTATCAGAGAGGGAAATTTCAGAATTTGGAATCATGGAGGTTATGGCTGATGGTATGACAATCCATGGAGGTGGTTAAGTAGGATATAGGAATTTAGGAGATGGATGAACTGGGACAACAGGATGTTTTAGGGGACTTCATTGTATATGCTGAAGTCCCCAAATACGAGGCAGGATTTGAGTTGGAGAGAAAGACTGTCAATCAATGTTGTCAGTGTAGCCAGTACCTGATAGTTGTCATTACATTTCATCGATCCTCTCATTATCAATTTCAAGTGAACCTTTAGACAGCAATGTTAGCCAGTGCAGAATTCAGATGAAATAAATAACATGATGAGATGTCCAGATGTTTATGTTTTCAAATGACATTATGTTCATCATTGCATCAAGCCCCATAGGACCTCATCAATGAAATCCACGACCACTCAAAAGAATTAGGACTAACAGTTTTTAAAGGAAAAGCCAAGTGGATGAAGAATGCCTATTGCCTAGGCTATCACACTAATGTGGATAGACAGCCCATTGAGCAGTTTCAATATATGTATACATATATATATATATATATGTAATCTTAGATCAGCACAGCAGATGGATGCTGGTCTGGGTCCAGATCTGAACAGGAGGAAGAGCAGACGGGCTTGCATTTGGGAAATGACACAGAGCTTCCAATGATCCCAGGCTGATCTTTGATATAAAAATCCATTTTCACAAACACCAATATTCTCCTTGTAATGCTATATGTCTGTGAAGCAAGAAATGCTACAATCTCTAAAGAACCAAAAGAATGATGAAGTGACACACATGGGTATGAGTGAGTTGTAGCATTTCCAATGATGTTTTGAAGGCAAGAAATGACATAAAAGATCATTCAGAAAATAGATGATTGGAAAAGGAAATGTGTTTGCCACATAGTAAGCATGAAAGACACCAAGGAGAGAGAAAGCCTGATGACTGCATGGATGAGCACCAAGTGTCAAAGACTCTAGAGGAGGGACTCCAGCATATCACATACATTTTCTATGAAAGATTTTTGGAAGACATGAATTGCACTGAATAAAAAGGTGTTAAAGAATTGTTATCTAGAGGCAGCTAGGAAGCACCATGGATAGGGTACCACACTTGGGATCAGGATAGACTTGAGTTTAAACTTTGCCTGGGACACTTAGGAACTCTGAGGCCATGGGCTCATATACGGACTATTTGTACCTGACTTGTAGAGCCTTCTGAGCTCATATTGGTCTGATCAGCCACAGTCGGACACACTGTACCTTGACACCAACATAGTGATGTCATTTTGGTCCTCTTTGAGAATGAAGGACAACAACTAACGACCATGAGGCTATGGACAAGTCATAGTCTCTCAGCCTCAGTTTCCACACCTGTAAAATAGTAGCACTGGACTCATAAGGTTGTTTCGAGGATTCAGTGAGATAACATATGCAAAATCTATTGCAAACTATAAAGCACTATATAAATTCTAGATGTTGTTATCATTATTGTAACTATTGTTATCATTATTATCTATACCATTGGAAGAAGTAACAGATCAGTGATATCACAGATATGTTGAAGTCTTGAAGCATATTTAGGGTAGCTAGAACATGGGCAGATTGTTGGTATATGTAGAGACGTGTGAGACCAGCCTTGGTATTAAAAGTGTTCAAATGTGGGGGCAGCTAGGTGGTGCAGTGGATAGAGCACTGGCCCTGGAGTCAGGAGGACCTGAGTTCAAATCTGGCCATAGATACTTGACACTTACTAGTTGTGTGTCCCTGGGCAAGTCACTTAACCCCATTGCCTAGCCAAAAAAAAATGTCTGGAGTGTCAGTGGCTGTGGGAGCTGTTATTGGCATGAGAAGAGGGAGGGAACAGAAAGGGCTGGGGTGTACACCTGTAGGGACAGTATTTTTAACATTTGACTTGGTTCTCTTTCACCTATATTGCCATCGTGGTGGGTAGGAGTACAGTACAATGTTTCTCTTGGCCAAGGGTGTGTGACTTGGTTGTTCTAATACCCAAGGCACAACATATACCCCTGTGGAACAAACAGTGGTGAGAATTATAAAGTTAAAGTCTGCCTGGTGCAATTTGCAAGGATCATGTCACAGCCAAGCTTGCTAGCAGTTCCTGTTTCAGAGATGAGTGCCTGGGAGGGCACAAGGATACTCAAGACCATTCATTCAGTCTCAGAAAAGCATTTGCCCGTCTCCAATCCTTTGGCTTCTCTTCCATTTGGCACAAGTATTCTAAGCCCATGAACAGTAGCTCAGTAATAACATCTGGGAGTTCTTGCAATATCCTGGGATAAAGTTCATCCTGACCAAGGGGCTTAGATTTATCACGATAAGTCTGTTGTTCTCTCATCTAACTTCTCACATAGCTTGGGTTTCAGTTCCCTCTTAATAATTTTGGTTCATTCCTTTTCAATTGGAGAGTCATTCCCCATAACAGAGAAAAGCAAAACAAAGAAGGAGTGGGTGATTCCTCTTTCATTGTTTTTCTATTATTATGCCCTCAATTCCAAGGCCAGATATTTCCCTTTTCTCATTTCCCCTCACCAACTCAGACCCACAATGTGTTTGTATTTCTTATCCCTATAAAAATCTTTTTTTAAGAAAGGATCTGAGCAATAGGCTGAGAATGGGGAATTGGGAGACCTTGGTTCAAGTCTCAGCTCTGCTATTAATTCACTGTATGATCTTGGGCTAGTCACTTTCCCCCTCTGGGCCTCAGTTTCCTGATATGTAAGATGATGGGTCCAAATTAGACAGCAGAGATGCTGTCCTTTTCATCTCTAGCATTCTTTGTCCTAAAAGCTTTTCCATATATAGCATCTGTTCATTATATTGTAGCTAAAGGAAATGACTCATAGATTCAAAGAATAAATTGGAGGCAGAAAGACTAAAGACAGAGAGATCAATTACAGAGCCGTTATAGTAGTCCAGGTCAGAAGTGTCAAACGGCAGACCAATAAACTCCTGGGTATGTTCCCAAACAGATTAAATTGTAATTGTTGTTGTTGTTGAGCTGTTTTCAGTCATGTCTGGCTCTTTGTGACCCTGTATGGGGTTTTCTTGGCAAAGATACTGGAATGGTTTGTCACTCCCTTCTCCAGCTCATTTGACAGATGAGGAAACTGAGGCAAACAGAGTTAAATAACTTGCTCAGGGTCATACAACTGATAAGTATCCGAGGTCATATTTGAACTCAGGTCTTCCTGACTCCAAATCCAGCACTCTATCTACTGTACCACCTAGCTGCCCATAAAATATAATTAGGAAATATTTAACAAAACACATAAAAACATAACATAACATAGATACTGGTAATATATGGTTTTTAAGTCAATATGTGGCCCACAAGGATCTTTACGTAAGGTTTAGTGGCTCCCATTTCTTGAGTTTGATACCTCTGGTCTAGGGGAGAGATGTTGAGGTGTTGCTCTGGAAGTGGGGCAGGACAGAGAAGATGGAAGGAGAATAGAAATGAGATCTTTCCTACTCACATCTGGATTCCTGAGTTCTCACACACACCCCTACCCTAATACACAATAAATCAATACCAGACTCATGCCTTATCCCTTCGTCTGCCTTTGTTTCCCTATATTTCTCTACACTCTTCTCCCTGCTACCTCTTAAAAATCTGCTCATCTTTCAGGCTCTAGCTCAAGCTAACTCCTGAATTAGGCTCGTCCCTGCAATAATTGGAGTGAGGACTCCTGGAATAAAAAGAATTTGAAATTGAGAAGACCTGATCCGTTTCTCCTACCTGCTTTAATTCCTTCATTTGGCAGCAAATGGCTCTCCAAGTAAGTGATTATGTAGTAAACCTGTGTTCACACCAGAAGAAGGGGGAAAGAAATGCGTATAGAAAGATGAATGTGTCCAAAGAAGATTTATTAAAGGTTATTCTTTTTTTAAAATTTTATTAATTTATTTTGATTTATCAACAACCACTTCCATAAGCTTTTGAGTTTAAAATTTTTCTCCCCCTTCCTCTCCACCACCCTCCCCAAGATGGTGTACAATCTGATATAGGCTATACGTTTACATTCCTATTAAACATATTTTCACATTAGTGGTGTTGTAAGTAAAATTAAAAGCAATAGGGGGAGCCATCAGAAAGAGGAAACAAAACTCAGCAAAAGAGAAAAACAATAGCAATTCAACTTCCATAGTTCTTTCTTTGGATGTGGCTAACATTTCCCATCACGAGGCCTCTGGAGATGTCTTAGATCTTTGTATTGCTGGGAAGGATTAAGTTTATCACTATCGGTCATCGCACAACATGGCTGTTATTGTGTACAATGTTCTCTTGGTTCTGCTCACTTCACTCAGCATCAGACCATACAAGTCTTTCCAGGTTTTTCAGAAGTCAGCCTGTTCATCATTTCTTATTCCATTACATTCATATACCACAACTTGCTCAGCCATTCCCCAATTGATGGGCATCCTCTCAATTTCCAATTCTTTGCCACCACAAAAAGAGCTGCTATGAATGTTTTTGTACATGTGGGTCCTTTTCCCATTTGCATGATTTCTTTGGGATACAGCCCTAGAAGTGCTATTGCTGGTCAAAGGGTATGCACATTTTTATAGCCCTTTGGGCATAGTTCCAAATTGTTCTTCAAAATGGTTGAATCATTTCACAACTCCACCAACAATGCATTAGTGTTCCAATTTTCCCACATCTTCTCTAACATTTATCATTTTCCTGTTTTGTCATGTTGGCCCATCTGATAGGTGTGATGTGGTACCTCAGAGTTGTTTTGATTTGCATTACTCTGATCAATAATGATTTAGAGCATTTTTTTCATGTGACTATAGATGGCTTTAATTTCTTCATCTGAGAACTGTCTGCTCATATCCTTTGACCATTTATCAATTGGGGAATGGCTTAAAGGTTATTCTTTGTAGTTGTCTGGAGATGGGAGTGAGATGCTTTAGGCTTCCAAACCTGCATACATTTGAGGAGATGGTGAGTGATCTTTGGACTGCTGTGGTATAGTTGCTCAAAAGATGGTTTTTCAACTTCCCCTTTTTGTGTAGAAAACACGCCCTCTGTGATGTGCATTGGAGACATTCCCTCCTTTTCTGGAGTTGCAGGATGGTGATTAGTGGGTTACCTGCTCCTTTCACTTCCAGACCTATGCTTTATGATCTTATTAACATAACTGTATATAAATATACATATTCATATATAGCAAGAAGTATTAGTTAATTTATATTCCTCAGAGGGAGGAAGGATCATATTTGCAGTTACAGAATTCTAAGAATCAAAACCATATCCTTGTACTCATTATAAGAGCGCATAGAGCTACAGAGATCAAACATTATGACAAGCCTGACTAAAGTCAAAGTTGTGTTAGCCCTGGCATACCAACTCCAGGAAGTCTTTCTTGACTTCTCCAGCCAGCCCTAACTCCCCCTCCCCTGCACTCTGGACCACTCATGATGTCATTTAATCACATATTGTGTCCTTTCCTGCTGATTTCTTGTAAGCCTTGTCCCTGCAGCTATGTGATGAGCTGCTGTGTTTTACCAAGAGCTCACTTTGTTCATAGTGGGTATATACAATTATCTCTCAACTTTTGCTGGGATAAAGTTCCTAGAAAATGGCATGAAAGTAAAAAACCCAATTGTTGATACATTGAACCTACAGGAAATAGGGAGTTAGGTTCCCATGACCACAGAAAACTGTCATCTTCTTCTACAGATTTTTCAAAATATACTTTTCTGCATACAATTTTTTTATAACAAAACATTTATTTTGTTCACATATACACTTTTCCTGACACAGTAACCATGAAGTAACCCATAAAATACAGGGGAGAAGAGGACAACATGGGCAGAATGGGGAAGGGCAGGGATAGTGTTGACAGGGACAAAGGAACCTTGAGATACTTTCAACTCAGTGCTTGAATCGTTCCCCAATAAAAAGCCCATGCCTCTGCCTGGTCTAAGCTCTGAACTCCCACCAGGCAGCTCAGTTGGGATGGCATGGCAGGGTTGGGCTGGGGCTGAGGGTTACTCCGCCCTACTAGTGCCAGGTAGCCGCTGTTCCTTTATCCACAACTTTCACCACTTTCATTATATTTCCATTCCCTCACCGAGTACTTGAGAGGTTACTTTAGCACTTTCTGGGGAGGATTCATGAACACTTTTACAAATACTTTCCTCCTTCTTGTGGATATAACGAATTGTCAATTCATTAACACCAAACTCTGGGCTGACAGCAGCCGCAGACATTCCAGCACGAGGTTTATCTAACACCTTTGTTTTCTCACTAAACTGCATCACTGACTTTGCACGCTTCGGCTTAGAGCCTGAAGGACTTGTGCTATGCTTTGGGGGCATAATTGCGGCACAAAACTTGAGTTTTGAAGGCAAACAATGGAAACATGCAATGAATGCATGGGGAGCTCTTTAAAGTGGTCAGGCGAACAAGACCAGTGAAGCACCTCGGATCCCTGCTGCTCCACAAACGTGTTCTCATGGAGTCTTTCCTCTTTTTTCTTTACTGTGCATAGATGCGGGAAAGTGAAAATGTGGTTCCTAATAAAGTCACAAGAATGCTGGAAGTCGTGAAAGTTAAACAGTGAATGTTGAGGAGTGACTGTAATAAATATTTGTTGAAATGAATTGAAGCAAATGGATTTATATTTCTCATTATCCAAGTATGTGACCAATGCATATTTGTTAAATTGGAAGAATGGTGTTACGGATAGGGCAATGGATTTGGAATCAGGAAGACTTTGGTTTAAATCCCATCTTCTGATGTCTATTAGCTCTTTGTCCCAGATGAGTTACTTAGGCCCTCTCAGTCTCAGTTTTCCCACCTATAAAATGGGGATAATGATAGCACCTATCTAAAGGCATTGTTACGAAGATCACATGAGATAATGTATGCAAACTTTAAGACACTGTATAAATGACGGCTATTCAGAGACATTATGGTCTACAATGGAGAGGGTGCTAAACCTGGAGTTAGGAAAATCTAGGTCCTAATACATTTCAGATGCTTAGCAGCTCTGTGACTCTGGGCAAGCCTCTTAACTGCTCTGTGCCTCGTTTTCCTTATTTGCAAAATGAGGGAGTGGGGCTTAGTGGTTCCTGAGGTTACTTCCTTAGGAAGACATGGCCCCATGACGTTCTGAGTTTTTTTCTCTACCATTTCTTGGCCAAGGCTGTGTAGAGGGGAAGGAAGGACTCTCAAATGCTCCACGTCCCCCAGGGGGAAGCTGTTCACACAGACTTTGTCAAGTTTAGTTCCTCTTCTCACAAAAACCCATGGAAGATGAGCGTGACCGGTGGGGACCAGACTTCCCCCTGGGGAAATCACCCTTAACTGGAACAGTCAGAGAGCCCAGTCAGGGTTTAGAAGAGAGGCACTTTGCCCATGCTCTGCACCCACCCCTGGACACCCTCAGAGGCTCCCTCTGCGGTTCCTGCGCTTCCTACCTCCAATGTGAAGCCTGGGAATGGAATGGAGAGGTGTCTGTGTGGAGTGGTTGGTGACCCGGTGGATGGCACATGGAAATCCAAGCTTGTTCTGGCCCAGCTGGGAGTGGAAAATGAGGTTCCACAATCCAACTGCTTCTCTGTCCCAACCAGTTGTGGAGTGATCGTGTTCCAAATGTTGAGGGTGGCGCAGAAGGCCAAGGCCCATGAAATAAAGCTGTTTTTTCTTGTCTGGGCCTAGGGAGGGACCCAGGGAAAGGAGGGGGTAAGATTGGCACTAACACAAAGGCCGTCATAGCCTAAGGTCCTGGTAAAACACATTCACAAGAAATAGAGTTGGAAGAGTCCTTAGACATCAGCCAATCCAACCCTCCTGATTTTACGAATAAGGAAATGGTGACCCAAAGAAGGGAAATGACTTGCCCAAGGTCACTCAGGTAGCACAGCAGGGCTGTGATGATTTGAATCCCAGCCCTCTGATTCCAAGTTCAGTGTTATTTCCATTATATCTTGTCCTATCTGTAACCTTACTTGCTCTATGAGGAGCAGACAAAGGTATAGGAGATGGAAGAAGATGGAAGAGATTCCCATAAGGATCCGGGTAGCTCTCACTTGTTGTTTGGTTGGTTATTTGTATCTGAGTCTTCACGAACCCATTTGGGGTCTTCCGGGCAAAGATACTGGAGTGGGTTGCCATTTCCTTCTCCAGCTCATTTGACAGATGAGGAAACTGAGGCAAACAGCGTTAAGTGACTTACCCAAGGTCTCACAGCTGGTAAGTGTCTGAGGCTGGATTTGAACCCAGATTGTCCTGACTCCAGGACTGGCACTCCATCCACTGCACCATCTAGGTCCCCTAGACGAGGTAAAGTTTAAGCTGGCTTTTGAAAAATGGGAATGTTATTTGGAATGGCAGAGATGGTGAGAGGGCATCCTGGACATCCCTCATTGCTCCATGGGGAGTGAGAGGGAAGGGAGATAAAGCTAATGGGCAGCCTTCCGTGATCCTACCCAATGGTCACTCCTTCTTTCTCTCTCTTTTTTTTTTATTAGGCAGTTGGGGTTAAATGACTTGCCCAAGGTCACACAGCTAGTAAATGTCAAGTGTTTGGTCTGAAGCCGGATTTGAACGCAGGTCCTCCTGACTTCAGGGCTGGTACTCTATCCATGGTGCCACCTAGCTGCCTCCACTCCTTCTCTTCTTGAGGTGCGAAGGTAGAGAAGCTGTTGTGGATGACTGTTCCAGTTGGTTAGGGGTGGACCACTCAGTGGTTTTAAGCACTGCTAGAGAAATAACTTCTGTAGCTGGTAGTATCCAGTTCTCTGGTTTTTCACTTTACCATCACCTATGAATGAATGAAGCATTTATTAAGCACTTACTGTGTACAAAGCACTGTGCTTAGCACAGCTTAGGGATACAGTTTGTGAAAGGAAGACAATTCCTGCTTTCAAGGAACTCATCTTCTAATGGGGGTGGGGAACAACACATATGGAAAGTTTCAGTTGCAAGTCAGAAAGAAAGGCTCATGGTCCTCAAGGGGAAGTGACAAAGCAGATGTTGATGACTCCTCTTTAATACCATTTCCAACAATAAACATGCCAATTTCCAATGCTGAACCATTTATGGTGCTGAGGACTTTGGTGGCAATACCTTGTTTTCCCTAGTCTTCAGTAGTTTTGGCTCTCACACCCATAGGAGGAGCACTTGCCCAGCTGCACCTCTGTGGAGGTTGTGAGCACTGGACTGGAAGCATTCCTATTCTCAAGGCTCTTGGGCTCAGAGTCCTGGGCTGTTACCGTCATGGTCTGAGGGAAGATGACAATCAGGGTAGCGATGGTGGCAGGACTTGCCTGGCACGTGATGTCTGCTATCTCTCCCTCAAACTGCCTTGATACTCTAGCTAGAGTGGCTTGCCTGCCCTGTGTATGGCAGTTGGTGGGGAAGGCTGTCTCGTTTTCCACAGGAGTTGCTTCCATGGATGATGGCCATGAAGGCTGGGCTGGACAGGAATGGTGGCACATCTGCTACTTCTAGGGCTCCTGTGTCTATCTGCCTGCTGGGGACAGGTGATCAATAGTTATTGCTAGTGGTGTTAAGGAAGGTGCTCCCCCCCCCCCACCCACCATGATTTTCCTTTCAAAATATCTTTGAAGATTGGGCTAGAAGGAGGTCTGGTGGCATAGGGGGTACTGTTATTCCCAAGGCTCTTGGGTTCAGGATCCTGGGCTGTCTGCATCAGGGTCTAAGACACTGCTAGGTCTTAGGGTTTGACTAAGTCTTCTTGTGCCACAAAGCATCCCCTCAGAGGTTGCTCTCCTAGCTGGGATCAGAGAAAGTCTTTTTGAGTATGCATAGAGTCAGTCGATAAACATTTATTAAGTACCTACTATGTGCCAGGTACTGTGCTAAGTGCTGGGATACAAAGAAAGACAAAAGACAGTCCCTGCCTTCAAAGAGCTTACAATCTAATAAAGGAAGACAACACAAAAAGGTGTGGGGGGTGGGGGGATGGGCAGGGGAGAGGCAGGGGTAGAGGGAGAAAGTCCAAGGTAGGAAAAAGCCAGGTGGGAAAATAATGAGATGGCTCCCTTAAATGGAGGGTCAGGGAGGAGCTCTCCACTGTCCACCCTCTACCCTCTTCAATCAGAGGGACTCCTAGATTCAGGTGGTAGGCTGACTGAGGTCCTCTTTCCTGCTGAGTACTGAGTATTCCATAGTCTACCATTCACCCTTTCTGTAGCTTCAGGGCTGACCCCTTTCTAACATCCCCCATCATCCATTTACAACAACATACATCTTCCTTCTTCCTTCCTTCCTTCCTTCCTTCCTTCCTTCCTTCCTTCCTTCCTTCCTTCCTTCCTATCTCTCCCTCCCTCCCTCCCTTCCTTTTCTTTTATGAAATTATAAATTGGTAATCCCTTTTATTTTGTTAAGGCTTAATCAAGTTGGTATGTATCCATTATTCACCCTCAGTGTGAGTTTAAATCCTTATTCATGTAGTTTTCATTGCCCTTCAGTTGCCCTATTCTAGCTTTATCATTTCACTCACCACCTATTATTTTAGAGAAACATGCTCCAGAGAAAGGTCAAGCATATTCTATGAAATGCTGATGTCAAGCTGTCCCATGAACCTCAAGTTGGTGTTTTCCCAGGTTTTGCAAACCACATGATTCTTCTAATCATAACTCAATGCCCACATTGCTACAGATATTGTTCCTCAATCACGCCCTTTGTGACAGTCACAAACTCTCAACTGAAGCTTCATTTGACGAAGTCCCACTCCTTGGACGTCCCAGATTCCCTTCACTGATTCCATGTACATCACCATAACTGTGGTGTCACATGACTCACAGGCTAGGGCACCATCATCCATGCCAGTCTTTCCTGGCCAATAGTGGACACTAAACACACAGCTGGATAGTGCTGCTACCTACCTCAGCCAAGTTGCATCTTCTCCCTCCTCATCTCTCCTTCCTGGCTTCCCTGGCTTTTTTCAAATCCCAGCTGAAACCCCACCTTCTACAAGAAGCCTTTCCTGATCTCTCTTAATGCTAGTGCCTCTCCTCTATGATTAACTACGATGACGTCCTATATATAGCTTGTTTGTATATAGTTGTTAGCATGTTGTCCCCTTCTTTAGACTGAGCTTCAGCTGAGAGCCTGTGACTGCCGCTGAATACTGTCCCATCAGGGGATGTGAGTTTTGTTGTGTGGAGCCCGTCCTACTTTTCTCAGTTGTCCTTGGATGACTGACAGTCAGGACAACTGCATGATGAAGGCCTAATAAAAGCAATAAAAGCTAAGAAGTGAGTGTGGTCTTGGGAGCCTACAATTTTGTTTATAAGAAGGCACCCTGCTGTTGTGAGAATGGCAGAAATTGGAGTTCTGAAATGCTATACTGTACTAGCCTATAACGGATCCCACACAGAAAACAATTGGCGCTGCCCAAGGTCTTTTGCTCTGTTGCTATGAAAGCACTGTATGCTAACTTTGGACGCTAGGGTAAAGAGAAAACCCATTTTAGTTCTCAGATCTTATCACACCCCTTGGAGCTGGTGCAAAACAGATTCTACTGGCCCAAGATGGCAGCCGATATCTATAGAGGTGTGAGACTCGGGCTTGATGTGTTCAAAAGAGAGCGTTGCCAACTCATATTGCACACTTGGAGAGCATAAGGATT